TGCAGATTTCTTATACTTTTTCTTCTACCCTGAAGATGGAGGCGATACGTTCCTCCGAAACGTCGGTTAACACCACTTATACACGGTGCCAAATCCCAGAAGACTGCTTTCTAAATAAAAGTTGTTTTCAGTATGTTCTTGTATTGTGGAATTTTGACTGGTCAACTAAAATAACAAACTTTGTTTTAATAAAGCCTGTACATTTATAATAAATTAGTAAGATGACCAGTGCAGACCACAAAACAAGAAATGGAAAATGAAATAGTCGACTGCTGCCAGTTGTTTTGCAGGTGTGCATCATGAAAATGCGAAGATTCCAGATCGTCCTTCATGGGAAGTTTCAACTCTCTCCAAGAAGAACAAACGTTGTGGGATCGTTAACAGCTCTCCTCTGCAAGGATGCAACATATCATCCCTCCAATGTCTCGCAACGTCACCATACTACAGCATTTGATGTCAAAGGACCCTCATCAAATAGTAGGATTGCAACAAGTTTTATGGGGTGTCACAGAACCATGGCCGCGTACCTAACCATACCAGTCGCGGATGGAGATGTTAGCAGAATGCGTGTATGTCCACTTCTGGGTATTGCTGCTAATGCCCTAGAATACTCGGAGGTTCCTCTCTTTACTATAAAAGTAATCATAAAAAGAAAATTGCGAATTTTTAACAAATGTTTTAAGCTTGAATATATAGTTACTATTTTGATTAATAATTAATCTTGGCTATTATATTAATGAAATGAGACACCCAGTTCAGTCTGGTTACCTGATTTGAAGATCATTTTTTGTTAACCAATTTAACATAAACCTTTCCATCTTTCTATTTTGAAATAGAAAGAGAAGGTTGCCAACTGTTTTACAAGAACCAGAAAATCACTATCCCTGCACTCACTCTGCCTCCATCTATAATGAGGTTGGAGTTTTCACCAGCACTGGTTCAGCTAATCAACTCACTGAACCGTGTCTCTGGTCTGTATAAGCTTCCCAATCTCCGTAGATATAAGATATTTACACTGTTTGGCCATGTTGTTAAGGAATGCTTTAAAGTTTAAAAATTCAATATTTTTCACTGAGAATCTTAACTCTTCAGATACTTGAAAGTTTATTATCTATTTGTATTATCAAAATTTATGGAATTTAGCTTGGTATGGAGCTACAAATGTCAAGGCTGTGGTAGGCAAGTTGCAGCTATTCCATCCAAGATATATTCTAATTTGTATGTTTCTGTTTCAGGAATGTTATGTATTTTTATTGCAATGTGTTTTCTTGTTGTATTGGTGGTGGGAATTTGGGGTAGCTGCATCTTGTCCGACAGGGCCTGTATGGCCCCTGTCCGCATGTCACTGTACTGCCAACTGTTCATGATTGTGAATCCGGCAAAACTTTTATTATAATTGATCTTGAAAGTGCACTATAAAGAACTTGCACCTGTTCTCCATCATCAAAATTGTCCCCCTTAGCACTTTCGATTGTCAGGTTCGTCACACTGGGGGGTGGGAGAGGGTACCAGGGTGGCTAGAGCAGTTGCAAGTTCTGCGAAAGTTTCGCTTGAAACAGCCACATTCATAGCTGGTAGCAGTGAATGAATGTGAGAAATAGAGGACTCTGAAGTTGTATTCCAGACCACACTGCTATTGATTCCCAGAAGCACGAAGCAAAGCTTCGAGAAATGAACACATTCTTCGTTCATGCTTCTTAGAGGAATCTGTAACATTGGTGTGGGATTACTTCTTGTCCTGTATTTCGGATATGCATTCTGGAAATTGCAGGTATGACATATCCCCCCCCTCCACATCCTGTGCCTCAACGTGGCGAGGGGGTGAACAAAGAATTATGCATGTGTTCCATGTTTAAAAAAAATAAAAAGTATGGAAATATACCAAATATTACATTATTTTTAAAGCAAGTTACTCTTGTGTCCTGAATAGTCGGGGTAATGAGTAAAAGTAGTGTTAAACGGCTCAAAGATAAGTTTGTACACAAATTTTTGGTTCACCCATTGGAGGAAATCATGGTGGTACCACCCATCACTGGTTCTCTCTTTAAGAGTTTCAAAGTCTGTCTAATTTAAACTCTACACAAATGTTGTACATAATACAATTTTGGAAGGCAATGAAAAGTTGGCTGTTGCTTATAAGGTGATTTGAGTCTAGAAAAATTAAATATTTAAAAAATACCACATTGTGAATTTTTAAAACTTCCATTATTTGGTGTTCCCGATATCCTCTTGTGTGACAAGGCAGATACTGTTTACACCTTCAGTAGGAATAGCTTGACAACATTTCTGCACTACATTTTTGCTTTCTATTGTAAGTTCCTAGCATTGATTTGCTACAAATAAAAAAATCAGAGGGTGCATGAAGTGTCTTAACAGTCTGGGATGAAAATTATATGTTGAATGTCTGCTTATTTATGAATCTGTATTTATTTCATGGTATGAGACATGAACATGCATAATTCTTTGGCCAAAGCAGGATGTAAAATATGATTTACAATGAATGTGTATTCGTATTATTGGTATACTATAAAAATGAGTTGCTTTTTTAGTTTTTTTCAATATACATTTTTATTTTTTTTAACCATACATTTATGGGCAGGTTGTAGTAGCAGTAACTCCATATTTGAAAAGTACTCAGTTTGAATCTGGGATGGAATTACAGCTATCCAAACTTGTTTTGTGTTTTTATTAACAATTCTGCTCAGGTTAATGTGTGTACCAGGAGAGTACTTGCCCAAATCTGTTCCTCTTCTTCAATTATTTTTTCACATTATATAATACATGGGGCAGCCGCACTATGGCCCTGGGTTCAACTCAGCCTCTAACAGAAATGAGTACCAGGAATTAATTAATTCCTGGGGAGTAACGTGCAGCCGGTGTGTAAGGCTGACAACCTTACTGCCATCTTTGAGCCGATTATCTAGAAAATGTGGGTCCCCCAATGTCTCAGAACCCTATGGGCCTTCATGGCCTGTTACAGGGATAGCTTTACTTTTTTTTATAATACGTTTGGCGCACACAGTTAAAGGCATGGTTTGTACCATGTGGAGCATCTGGTTCAATCCCTGGTGACTTAGGAGAATCTTGGCAGATGAAGTGGCAAGGGAGCAGGTTTTTCTTAGTTTCTTTAGTTTTCCCTTGCTTAACCATCATTCCGCCATTGCTCCATTCTCATCTATCAATGCCCCATGTGTGTCTGTGTGTGGGGTGCTTCATCCATGATCAACCACTTCCTACCACTTGACTGGTCACAGACAGTAACGAATTCTTGTAATCTCTGTCATTAAGATGATTGTTAAATAACTCAATCCTTTCTTTCCATTTATCCATTTCTGTCTCGTGTTCTCCTTTGTGTTTGTATCCATTTTTACATCCATAAAATTCTTTTGTTGTACGAATGCAACATTTTGAAAGCAGAAGTCTAAGAATTTGTAACTGTATTTCAGCATGTCTTCAGCAACATCAAAAGAGGAATGGGAAAAGGCATTGCAGATCAGTGTCCATGGCTGCAGAATACAGCATGCAAAGTTCATTCAAGAAGTAATGATTGATTTGTAGTTGGGAGGTGCCCAGTTTGAATCTAAGATGGGACAAACTACCCCGACAAAGAGGATGGTGAATTTTCCTCAGTCCCTTGAGACAAATACCAGGACAATATTTCCAATTAAGACACCACTTGTTTCCTCATCTTCCCAATTAATCACTCCTCAATCATCCTGCCATTTACTGCTACACAGTTTGAGATATTGAATGTATCCTTAGAGCACAAATAAATAAATAAAACAGAAAATAAATGGATGTTCTCTCAAAAGAGGTAATGAATCTTTCAGTGCTGTGAGATGTAGCTGTTTTTTTATGTTGCCACTCAACCTACATAGAATGCCTTGTGCACAATTTCATACACAAATGTCCAGCATACATAGGAGTTGAACCTAAATGCTCTACAGCACTGAAAGAAGTAACTGTAAACATAACCACCACTGTGAGAACCTGAAATCCTGTCAACTGTAAACATAATGATAAAGCAAAGCAATTATACCTTCCAACTCCTTACTTTCCCCCAGTTTCATTTTTTGGAAGTAGGGATTCAACACACCTTCTATAGCTCATTTGTTGAGTTCAATTAGAGAAGATGGCTGAAAATGTTACTTGATTATAATGATGGCAATCAACTGATATGATAAGAACACCCCTGAGAGCTGACAGTGGGAATGGTCTGGGAGAATCCTGAAAGCAAATTGAGGCGATTGTAAGTAAGAGGCAGCCCACACTGCTGGTAGGTAGTGAACGAAGCTAGCCTCTCAAAATACCAAGTACTATGATGCTTCTTAACTTACTGTAATCATAAAAAACGTGCAAAAATTAAAGTATTGTGAACCAAAATATCAAACTACATTCTGAACGAAATACAATACACTCTTTAATGAGCTGTTTGCATTGAAATTCATCATCGTAGTACTAGTATATTTTATATAGAATATTACGAAAATTTGTCCAGTGGTGTATGCCCAAATACGCCACTCATAACATTCACACAATGCTTTTTTTTTTTTTTAATTGGTATAGAACGTCTACAAACCAACATCTTGACGAGCTTGGAACTTCCAACTTGCCATTTACTAAAGTGTAATCAATTATTGATTGACTGTATATACGCGCATATAAATATGACGACTAAAAACTATAATGTAAAATAATGACAAAAATTTTCATTTTCTATCTCGTACTTAAAGCAATGAATATCTACAGTTGGCACTCCAAGCGACGACATTATTGTCTTTAATTATTTTGTAATGCGAATCCTCGATGGCAGGGAATCGGTCTTGTAATAAGTAGAACTGTCAGCCTGGAGAGGAAAACTGAAATTTTATAGTTTCAGTATGTCTTTTAAAAATTTACAAAATGTGCATTCTCTGTTCTTATAAACCACGGATCATATGTGCAAACCTGTTGATTTAACAATTATCGAAACCAAATAATCGAGATGCCTACGACTGATGTGATTGGTGAATGTGACGTATTTTCAAATGTTAATTAGGTGGATAGAATAGTGTGATCGAGTGCGATCGTGTGTGATAGAGCGCTATGAGTTCATACCAAAAAAGGAAGAAACCAAATTTTTACAGCTCACAGAAACCAAGAAAGAAAAGGGAATTTGTATTAAAACCAGGTCTCAAAGGTTTTCTGTGCACATGCAACAACAGGGAAAGAGATTGTATCAGAGAATCCTACAATATACTGAATGAATATGCTGACAGATTATATGGTGAAGACAAGGTTAGTTCCTATAAGTTTTACCGCTGTTCTTATTATGTATCTGATTTATTTACAGAGATACACTCTGTTAGAATACGTGTTATTAGACCTCATGTTTAGTTTGGTTAGGTCAACAGTCTGTAAAATGCTTTACAACGAATGACTCACTATAGTGGAGGATGTGTAAAAATCTAAGGACACAGTATGGTGATCATCTACATTAGATAAGTTAAAATAATCTAGGTTGGTTGGCAGGTTGAATTTGACAGATCATGAAGGTTATACCACAGATATAAGTATTGATTTTAACAAACCTATGTACTCGTATGAACATTCCAGCTACATCAAAGAGTTCTGTTTTAAACTCTGCAAATTTAGCAGAGATTCAGAAAATAGATAGGGCTGTAATCTAACCCAACAGAAGCAGCCGTTATTAGCATGATGGTGATGCACCCTCTGTTATGAATTAAGGACTAGAACTGATACATATCATTTAAGCTACAGAATCTGCAGTGTAGACATCTACTCTGAAGATGGAGATGTGGTGCCAAAGGTGGTTACCAGCGTTTCCCAGAAACATCTTCAGGGTCAAAGTCCAGACAACAGGGTGTCATAACATAGAAGACAAAACTGTGAAACTGATATATGCTTACATGCTTTGTATTTCATAAAAGTGGTTTTGGTGTAGGGTACCAACTGCAAGTTACAGATGTGCAGTATAATGCAATGCCTACCCTACCATAATTCCAACCTCTTCCTCACATCCTGCAGAATTGGAAGCATTCGGAGTGAATTATGGACTGATATCTTCTTGGGCAATTATGTCCACGTCAAAGTTGAATTAAAACGATAAATGATACACACTCCGTCCCAAGTGCAAACAATATATATTATATGTCTTTGATCTTGTTCTCTTCTACACTACATGTTTCGGCCTCTATCGGCCATCATCAGGTGTATACTCTAAACGTTGCTGCCGCACTGAAACCCAGTCTAAAATTTAACATTTAAAAAACACATTGTTATTTTTTACCCGTATTATCAACATCTACCTCGTTGATATGTGTCTGGTATGTAGATTATATTGCACACGTCAAAGTATCCTGTAGTAGCACTATAAAATCTTTAGTTATGATTTTAAAATCCTTTAAAATTGTGTCTAAATTTTAAATTTAGAATTTAAAATTGTTAGGGTTACTCGCCCTATGTCTAAAGTGCTGGAGCGGCTAGTTCTAGCGGCTAGCTGGAGCACACATAGTAAAGACAAGCAGCGGCACGCACACAGGAAGACCACACAGAATAACACCTGTACAGTGTGGAATAGAACTAGCCGCTCCAGCACTTTAGACATAGGGCGAGTAACCCTAACAATTTTAAATTCTAAATTTAAAATTTAGAGACAATTTTAAAGGATTTTAAAATCATAACTAAAGATTTTATAGTGCTACTACATGATAATTTGACGTGTGCAATATAATCTACATACCAGACACATATCAACGAGGTAGATGTTGATAATACGGGAAAAAAATAATGTGTTTTTTAAATGTTAAATTTTAGACTGGGTGCAGTGTGACAGCAACGTTGAGAGTATACACCTGATGATGGCCGATAGAGGCCGAAACATGTAGTGTAGAAGAGAACAAGATCAAAGACATATAATATATATTGTTTGCACTTGGGACGGAGTGTGTATCATTTATCATGTAGAGTGCAACAGGATGCTGAGATATAATATTGAATTAAAACAGTGTTTTTAGACTTCCTCAGTAAGTTACTGGGCAGGTGTCGGGTCGCAAAGATGGAGTCCCTGACTTAAAAGACTGAGGATGTGATAATGTGCTGCCTGGTCAGGATTGTCGCACACTGTGGGGGGTGATTGCAGTGGTGTAATGATGATAGCAGAGGAGAAACAAAAAGCCAGAGAACGTCATGTTCTTATGCAGCACCAGGGATTAAACCTGAACCTCTGTGGTGAGAAACCTCCACCTGAGTTATATGAATAAATTCTGGTTTCTTTAATATATCGTTAATCTTTACAGGCAAGTGTTGATGCAGCTTCTGCCTCAGCTGACCCACATACCCCAGAAAATGCATCTGAAGATGAAGATATCCAGACTGCATTGAATAAGGAATTAGAGTCACTTAGAGCTGAGAGGAAGAAGCTACCAAGCACACGCCGATTTCAAGCAATTGATTCTGGAGCAAACAATTGCATATTCATCCAAACAACAGTAAGCACCACATCCTCCCATCTTGTCATCTCCTGTCAGTAAACTTTCAAAGAATTCTGGTCTATTCTACTTAAAATTGAAATCATATTTCGTTATTCTTTTCAAGCACAGGATACTTACTTCCTCCTCTGCATTATCATTTATTCTTTTATGTCCTCAGTCACCCTTAAAAAGGCTGTTTTCTCATAATAACATGTTCATGTTTCCTTTTGATCAAGACAGACCTTGCCCCCTCCACTCATCCAATGCATTGTTACCACCTCACTTATAACTGTTATTTTGGACTTACCCATCATCAGAGTTTTTTTAAAGCACTACGTTTCATACATTGGTTCTGTTTCCAATTTCAAGTGACAGAATTGACTCTCCTGAGCCCCTTGGTAGAGCAATGAACATCTTTAACCCTTTAAAGTCCAGTGGTTACTATGTGTACCACCTCCTCTAGCACACAAGAACTCTGCATTCTGCCCACAGAGTGTATCTGTGTGTTCCATATGGTTCTCACAATAAACAGTGACTGTTTCCCTAAACAGCATTAACTTGTTGGTCTCTGTAGCGGAGACGTAATGTGTTTCCTGTGAGGTACGGACTGAATTGCTATATGTTCTACCCACAGAGTGTATCTGTGTTCCATGTGGTTCTCACAATAAACAACATTAACCGGTTGGGCTTTGTAGTGGAGGCGTAATGTGTTTCCTATGAGGTACAAACCGAATTGCTATATATTCTGCCCACAGAGTGTTTGTGTGTTCCGTATGGTTCTCACAATAAACACCGAAACAGTTGGTTGAGGCACTTTGCTACAAGCTAGATCAACTGACCTAATCCTTCTAGCCACACCATGGCCATGGGGTTGACTCAGCCTCTAACAGAAATGAGTACCAGGAATCTTCCTGGGGCTAAAGGGCGGCCAGCTGGCACGTTAGGCTGGCATCTGACAACCCTATGAGCCTTCATTGTTTGTTATAGGCCAGCTTTACTTTTTTGTCTTGAATAGGATGCTGTGATTAATTTTTTTTTTCTAGAGTGTGTTGTGTACTTGTTGTGTGGATGTTTGTTTTTGTGTTGTTCCTGTTCCCAGTTTCAAGTTGGGAGCTTCACCTCCAACCTGCCACTTGTTTAATTACAGAGTAAGGAAGTTAAGTTTTTTTTTATCAATTTTCATCTTGTATGGTTTGACTAACAGTTGTATTGTGGGTTCACGATGAAGATTGTAAAACATTTTATTAAGTTGACTGTCAGTAGTTTCTCATCGCAGTTTATCTGTGATCCATTGTAGTTGCCAGAACCTGTTGAACTCGTGTATCACATTATGAAAGATCTGGAGGCTACAAAGAAACAGAAAACACGTTTCTTGCTGCGCTTACTACCGATAGAGTCTACCTGTAAGGTATGTATTAAACAAGTCTGAAACATTCTAGGTAACAGCTGCATGTTTCAACCTCACCATGGTTATGCTGATCTTAATATTCTGTAACATGTGCTGCTCAGTTTTGGAGACTAGAGTGAGGAACAGATTCCCACCTCCAACATTTCTGAAGTAATTTGGAGATGTTGTTCAAAAAGAGTGGTATAAAATTCCACTAGGGACAGTTCAAAACTCGTACTAGTTCATTCCGAGAAGGATTTCGGCTGTATTAAAGGCAAAAGGTTCAACACCATGTTAATAAAGAAATGTATACAGTATCTGTATTGTTTCCATTATTTTATCCACCCCCTATACACATATAGACAGAAGGCATACCAGAAACAAAGATCGTGCAATCTTGTGCGCTGGAAACGTGTAAATCAATCAAAATGTCAAGATTGATTTCCTTCATAATCACAGTGCTTTGTCATTTTATTATGCATATGAGAAAGTAAAAGGCAAAATAATAGTTTTGTGCATTTTAATCTTTATGTTTTTAGACAACAGATGGAAAGTTAAAAGATTCTGGACTGGACAGTAACAGGCATTTCCAAAGTTTCATGTGTGTGTGTAATTTGCCCACGACTGAAACTGTGATGTGTTAATTTCTCTTTAAGGCATATGTGGAAGACATACGTCAGGCAGCTGATTCTGTATTTGACAAATATTTCTCAAAAGAAGGGAAGACATTTGCTGTTCTGTTCAAGTAAGTAATAAGTAAAAAGTAAAGCTATCCCTGTACCAGGCCATGAAGGCCCATAGGGTTGTGAGACGTTGACGGTCCCACACTATCTAGACAGTCTGCTCAAAGATGGCGGTAAGGTTGTCAACCTTACGTGCCGGCCGCGCTTTACTCCCCAGGAAAATTATTTAATTAATTCCTGGTACTCATTTCTGTTAGAGGCTGAGTAAACCCCAGGGCCTAGTGCGGCTGGAAGGATTTGATTAAATAGGACATAAAACTTGCTGTCATCTGGGATGTGACAGTGTGTTCAGCAGGTACGTACTGAAGGTTCAGAAGTACTTCCTCTCCCCATCCCCCTGTCTCCCTTTAGGGTGGGGTGAGACTGAGTCCACTTGGTATGTTAGCCACTATTTGGCCTATTGTACCTGCCCTGGATGATAGATGATGAATGTGGAACAGTTGGTGGAATGAGAATTGACAGGGGAAACCGAAGTACTCAGAGAAAACCTGCCCTGGTGCCACTTTGTCGACCACAAATCCCACATGACCTGACCTGGGCTGGAACCTGGGCCGCCATGGTGGGAATGTATCGACTCATTGCCTGATCTATGGAACAGCCTCTCCCCATTCTTAGGATAGCAAGTTGCTCTGAAATGTTGGTAGCTATCTGCAAAGTACACGGCATCACATCCTGTGATACCATAATATTAGTATTCACTGGCATGAGAACCTCAAATCTCATATAATGCAAAAGGCTTAGTGTTGAAACAAAAGGCGCAGAATAAAGTAATATGGAGGGAAAGTGAGGAGCTGTGGTTGAAGAGGCTCAGGCTCAGCCTGGAATGCAACACCAACAACAACAACAACAACAACAACAACAACAATAATAATAATAATAATAATAATAATTCAATTCGTATTTATTTACATGCAGACTTAACAGTGCATTGGCCAATTACAAAGTCAGCACGAGTACACATAAATACACAAAAATAATTAAAGAGCAAAATACAAAATGTGACAATAGTAAGAAATTAATAACAATTCCAAGAAAATTGAAGTTAGCTTTAACAGGCGTGAAAAATGAAATAAGCNCACGGCGGTGACTATGAAGAAAGCAGTCTTCTGGGATTTGGCACCGTGTATATGTGGTGTCTACTTTTACCAGTTCTCACAGTCTCTTCGCTTGCGGATTTCTTATATTTTTCCTTCTACTATGAAGATGGAGGCGATACGTTCCTCCGAAACATCGGTTAACACCACATATACATGGTGCCAAATCCAAGAAGACTGCTTTCTTCATGAAAGAAACTGATTGAAAAATTTTCTCCCCTTGTCAGAGCTTGATTAATTGGTTTGCTGATGCCTTTGACTGTTATTTTCATTTCATAACCCACTGGAATGTTTCAGACATCACAGTCATGTCGATAGCATACCAGCTCTGCATTTGGGAGGTGCCAGGTTCACTTCCTGGTGCCTGAAAACAGGGTATTTTGACTAAATGTCAAATGACCCTCCAGGCAAATGTTGGGTTAATACAGCACCTCAAGTTGCATCACAACCACTTCTCTCTGTATTCACTGATCATCCTGTGATTCATCTCTGTGTAGTCTAAGGTACTGAAAATGTTGTTAAGTAGATGGTAGCTAAGATTTATTTTTTTATCTTACAACATTGTTAGTAGTTCTGTATATGGTGTTGAATGATTGGATTAATGGTTAATTGGAAAGGTGTGGAAGGAAACAGTTGTGGCCTAATTTGAGGTACTATCCCAGCACTGAATGTTAACATCTTACATTTGATTCTTTAGTTTCAAGCAAACTTGAAATATAGATGTAAAAACAGAATTGTCCCTGTGCTTAATTAAGTGTCACACAATGAAAATGTATGGGCAAGCGGAGGCATATCTCTACCAGTGCTTAACAATTAAACAATTAAAAATAAATATTAAAAAGTGAAAATTATTTCACACTTACTGTTACATAGATTGAGAAATCTGCAAATACAGGGTGATTTTAAATTATGGTAAGGGTTTTTGTTTGTAGGCCACGGAAACTACAGCAATAATAATATAATCACTCTATATATGCTTCATATATTTGGAAATAGTTTTCAGCAGTTCAAGCATATGGTAACTGATCCTCGCATGTTGCAGGTCATGGGTAGATGCCCACTTTTCCTGTTTGATAGGAGGATGTATAGGTCCCAGAGGTGGTCTTGATAACAAGGAGAAGAAAAAATCTGTTGCCTCTGCCAGTTGAACCGCAGTTATATTTCTGCTGTGTTTGTTGATTAATTTATTTGTGTTACAGTCGTCGTAACAGTAGTGGCGTGAATCGTGATGAGCTGATTCGTGACTTGGCAGACATGATAGTGAGGAGACATCCTGAGAACCGAGTAGATCTGAAGCACCCTCAGTTGGCCGTTATTGTGGAGGTGATCCGTAACATGTGCTGCTTGTCCGTCCTTCCGGAATTTTTTGAGCTGCGGAAATACAACTTCCTAGAACTATGTGCTCCAGAGGGAGGAATTAAGGTAGTAGACAGGGTTTCTGAAAGGAAGGGTGCAGGAAAGAGTGGTGAGATTGAGGAGGAAATTCTAGTGACCAAAGAGAGTGGCCAGGCACAGGGCGTAGGAACAGGACCAGATAATGAAAAAGGATGTAACAGTAAAACTGTAGCTCCTACTTTGAAGGATGAAGCTAAAGAGATAAAAGAAAGAAGCGATGCAGATGATGTAAAGATAGAACCTGAGGGAGAGAATATTGAGGAGGAAACAGGGGAAACAGGTACTGATAACGTACCAGAAACTCCTGCCAAAGCAGAGGTGTAAGGTATTTGGTTCTGCTTAGCAGGACAGTATAAAATACCTTGACAAGGCTGTGTTAAAAAAAATAAAACAGTGTCACTTTGTTTCATGTTTCATAATTTCATTTATGAAAAACAATGTTTTTATTATTTTTTTTTTCCTTATATCTTTGTTTCTTGTTGGTCTCAATGTTTTCCACCCTCTCAGGAACAAACCATTTCTGTTTGATGTTAACCAGCTGAAAAAGGTGTTCAATTATGTCATAGCTGTGCTGATGTTATGTTACATCATGTCTATTCTGTGTTCATTTCTTTAAACATGCTTGAGGATCATGATATGGAAAGTTGATATCGATTGTCTTTTTACATATTCTTGCTGTATTTGACGTTCATATAGACAAATTTTGTGTTCTGGAACTCTGTTTTCTCACCCATTTTTGTAGAGTAGTCAGTCATACTTTATTGCAGTACTTGCTTCAAAATAAAAGTTACTGATCCGTTAAGTCTTGCATGCTATGTCATTTCTGTTGCCATACATTTAATCTTTACAGTCCAGGAGCAGGGAATTTATCTCCTGGTACTTTGGCACTGGTAACAGGATTTTAATTGAGAGTATTAGCATTAAATTAAAAACAATGTGATGGGAGACTTGCTGGTCCGCATTCTTGCTATCACAGTTGTGTGACACATGGACTATAGAGGTTAAGCGCACACATCTGTCTTTCATTTTTACCCGTGAAAATCGGACACCAAAGTTCAATACAACAGAACCCCCACTTCACATTCAGTTTGATGCTAAGTCAATCATCTGAGTGTTATATTTCCTCTGATTCTGATTTTTATCTGTTTAATGCTTAAAGCAACCTTGTAGAGGGGGTGTCACAAGGAGCTGCAGAGATGAAAAAGAAAGTTTGATATATCATCTTCCAGGAATACGATAAATGTATACCTATTTACTAGACTGAATGCTATCAGATACCAGAATTCCATAAGCACCATTGTCAGAACTTCAAATTTCATGATGATTAATGACAAAGCCAAGTTATCCATGTCATCACAGCATGATGACTCAGTGAATTGTTTCATGTAATAAGGCTTTGACTTGCATTTGGGAGAGATATGCTTCACATCTTGTTGTAGATTTATATAGAAACACCTCTATCATAGGGTTCACGTTCATATTTTACAGGGTAAATCTAGACATCTCCAGCACGGGTGATATATACAGTACATAATACAGTATCTTAAGATATATAATTAATGCCTATATGATGCCATGTAGTCCACTGAAACTCAATCAGTATTTCAACCCTGAAAATGGACACATTCCACTGAAATGTCTGTTGGCCTTCAGCAGACTACACAGCGTTTTATACCAGAATGTGGAAATCTACATCACCAGTATCAGAACCTCAGAGCCCATATGCCTGCATATCATAGGGGATATATAGAAGACTGTATCATGCAGTAAATATAGATGCTCGTATACCAACCTGCCATAGTGTGTGTGAGACATCTGTATTTACTGCATGATATAGCCACAACCATACCGTGGGATCAGCTTGTATATTTATATCCCCTGTGAGAGGGTGGCCTGTGTCTGTGTGCCATCATGTGTGTACAGCTTTCTGCATTCCCACGTTATCGCCAACATAGACAGGTCTCTGCATATCTTTGTATTGCCTCGTCACATACATTACAGCTAGCCTGTATTGCAGTATATTGCACCCCCTCTAAATACAGACACATTACTGCCTCCATACACACCTGTCTGTACATAGATAGTCACTCCTATGTATGTGTGAATTCATAGAAGCCTGTTTTACTGCAAATATAGACACCCCTATGTACACGTATATACAGGAACATATAGTGGTGACTTCATACACAGCTTCATACATGCCTATAAAGTTCAAAGACTTGCAAGGACAAAAGGTGAAATCAGATAGTTGCGATTTCAAAGAAAATGATTTAGCCTTGTTAAGAGTAGAGAACAGACAAAAACTGGACCAATTATGGAGATGACCATACAAAATAAAGAGAATTAAAGGTTCTAATGCTGTTATTCAAGAACCACATAAATGAAACCATCTAAGAAGCATAATCAGAAACAGGAATATATTTTGATGAAGTAGTAACCTTACTAATCTATCCGATGAGATGGAAGGTAGTCACTTATATAAATATGGAACCAACACGTGAATTATGGAAACAAACCAAAATTAATCAAAGGAAAGTTACAGATTTATAAGACAAAAAATGGTATCATTACACTGATTGTCCAGCCTTTGGACAGTACATGAGATCAGAAGGTAGGTAAAGAGATAATCTAAAAGATTTGGTGGCAGAATATTTGGCAGACAATACCCAAAAATAAAATAGACCAAAACGAGGTGCTTTAAATTTCATAGGCAAATTATCTAAAATTTTATTTGTAACATCAACGCAGTCGGATGCAAGAAATTATGACAAGCACATAACGGAATTGGAAAAAGAACAAAAAGAGTTTTTACACTTGTCAAATGAACAAATGACAATTATAGAAACTACAATCACCTCAGTAAATTAAACATTGCAAAAGATGAATCAAAATGAAAATGTTTTGAAAGAAGGCCTGAACAAATTACTTAACTACACACTGATATATTGGGTTTTTGGATTTTATCCATCGTCCTGGTTTTTAAGATAACAAATAAAAACACGACGTTTCAGAAACTGGATCTGTTTCCGTCCTCAGGTGAAGGAAAACACCTATTCACCCCACAGAATAGGTGTTTTCCTTCACCTGAGGACAGAAACAGATCCAGTTTCCGAAACGTCGTGTTTTTATTTGTTATCTTAAAAACCAGGACGATGGATAAAGTCCAAAAACCCAATATATCAGTGTGTTATACACCATCGTCAGAACCCTATAGTAACTACTTACTTAACTACAGTACACATAAGATTAATGAGCTAGAGGAAGAAATTAGAAACATAAATTTAATTAATGAACAATTTTGTTTAATACAGAGCTGGATTGATGAAAGCCAACATTCATTTGAAATATTAATTGATGCCTTTGTTCATGCTGAACAAGGAACTGTGCAACCACAGCTGATAACCGCAGAAAAGATTAAAAACTTTTTAGGAAGCCAAAAACTGCCAAGCGGCCTGGACTACCCTAACTTTCCTTTCCCTGAACTTCAGAAGATAGTAACTCCTAACACATATTCATCCAAACAATATTTGGTACGTTTTAGAAATTCCTTTATTTTCGCCAACTGTGTACTAATTATATAAGTTGTTACCTTTCCCAGTGATAGTAAAACAAAAAGAATTTACCTATGGTTACATTAATTTTAATAAACAGTTGTCTCTAAGACAACATTTCGGAAAGATGACAACCAACGAATTGTCTGGATGTTTTCAAGCAAACGAAATCACTTATGTATGTAGAGAGGCAATCCCCATCTACACCTACATTCCAGAGATGGACTGTGAAGCTACATTGTTGCATCCCTCAATGACAAGAACCCCAGACAGTTGTGAGTATAGATTTTCTAAACTAAGCAAACCTCTGTGGATACCCCTACATTTAAGCAATCAATGGTTATTTGTAAATCCGGATACAGAAACCTTTACTATTTTACTTCCGCAAGAAACAGCTACTGTAAAAATACGGAACAAAGGTAAATTAACTCTGAAACCAGAGTGCATAAGTAACATTATATGCAATGTCAACATTTGTAACAAATTTAACAAATGACTATATACCTTCTACTCCTGTAAATTTTTATTGTTGCTTTGAAGACTTACCATTGCATGTACCCTTAGTAAATTGTGTCTTCAGTAGACGATCTGAGAGTTGCAAAAGAAAACCGAGGAAGTAAAACAAATGATTAAAGACCAAGAATTTATCATCCGTCAATATTGCAACACTCTTCCAACCACCACTAGAGTTTAATTTAACATACACCTTGACACTACATGTTTTGGCCCCAAACGGCCATCTTCAGGTGTCTTGATATGTTACAATAACTTATTAAATTGTGTTAAAACTGCTACACTGTCTTCATGTTAAAATCACACGCTGTAGTCCTCTTTTTAAGGTAAAACCAGATAAAATCCTTTAAATTTTCTATTATACCCACGTTATTTTGGTGCATATTGTTTTGTCTCAGCAGCTTGCCCCTCATGTTTGTAGCCTACTTTTCAGTTTTGACTGCCATATGCCCCTGGTTTGTGTGTTTCCTCCACAGCCTGTGGTGTTGTCTTTACTAGTGCCTAGTAAAGACAACACAAAAAGACATGCAAAGGGCGTTTTTTGGGAATCCTCCAACATCTTTTTTAGTTAATTTTACAGTTCTGTCAGCATCTGGATTGCATAGCGTAGATTGGTAGGATGATTGATGATTTGGAAAGGATCTGGAAGGAAGCAATTGTGGCCTGAGAGACATACTGTCTGGGCATTAGCTTTAAGGGGTTGAGGAAATCCACAAATAACCTTTGTCGGGATAGTCGATGGACCATGCAGGGTGCCCATGCTGGCAGCACTGCAGATATCTAGAATTTCTTGTTATGGACTGCAAGGCTCAAGTAGAGAATAAGCAGTATGACATAAAATACAACATTATATTTATAAAGAATGTACTCGTATACCTATAATCCAGTTTCATCAACCATAAATAACCATAAGTCAGTTGTGACTACAGTTTTGAAGTTTTCATGGTAATGAAGAACCAGATTGTGGCCTAAGTAATGGCACAGTAGAGCCTGGTAGACGTGTATTGTTTTGGATAAGCACATGCCTCCGTTTTTATCCTGTATATGGTGGGAATGTACATGCACAGCTACGAGGCCACACGGTGCCCATAATATTAACACTTTCAAGATCTTCGTGATTGATGTGGCCAGAATAGGAGGTTACAGAGTTACCAACTGCGCTTTCGACATCTGCCGCACATAGTTCCGTTCTATTCGGCGAACCTAACGTCATTGTCCTTCATAGATGACAGGAAGGAAGGTTGGATATGACGTCAAATTTTTCTGCTCATTTCTTGTTCCTGCGGTTTCGAAACCCGCCCTTCTCTGGCCAACTCTGCTCTGTAGATCACGTGTTCCGACATGTTCGGTTCTTAGGGTTGGACGTCACCCTGTCTGCGGCAACGGGTTGGGCAAGGTAAGTCGTCCCGTTTGTGACAAATTGAGATGTATTAGGGTTGGAGGCCTCTTCTCTTCTGCATTAACGTTTCTGCCATTTCCTACGAAGTGGCATTACGATGTTGCTTTTAGTTTCATTACGCAATGAAACTTAATTTGATGTACATCGAAAACCAAATTGGGAAGATATTGTAAATTCGTTTTATCTTGTAGCCATTTTGGTTTCTAGAATAAGCGGACTGATGTTCAGATATGTGAACATGTGCAGCCAGAGAATTTGCTTACAGAGTTGAAGCCATTTAAGAATATCATTACGGGATCACTCTTTTCGGTAATAATGTTCGATATATTTCCTTTTCTTTTTCCAACCTCGGGTTTCTCACTCCCCCAAACCCTCCGGGCTCAATTCAGATACAGTGTTTAAATAATTGTAAGCTATAATGATCATTGACGACGTAAATTCATTTCATAAGAAGGGAATTTGAATGTAAAGCAGTTGCCCTGTTTCACTTCGCACAGAGACATCGGTCTATATGCCACGTCTTCGTATTCATGCGACTCAACATGGCAGGACCTGTTAGAATCCTACAGATTCGTTTCGCTTTTATGACTTCCTTCCGAACAACCTCATGGCCACACTAGTAAACCTCTCATTTGATGAATATTATTCACATGGAGGAAGTTTCATATTCCTGTACAAAAAAAAAAACTATTAGAAAATGTGCAAACGCGATGATTTTATTCGCTCGGAAATTGACTTAAAAAACCAATTCCATTGTGTTAGACTACACCTACAATTTGGATTATCCTATTACTTGCTTACGGAGCTGAGCCATTCTTGAGGAGAAGCCAAATGTGCAGCTACTGAAGAATTTTTCATCATTTTATGAAACCCGAAGGTTCAAAACCGTGTTCACAAAAGCCCTCCACGGGTCCTTATCCTGAGCCAGATTAATGCCATCCGTACCATCCCATCCTATCTCTCTAATATCCATTTTAATATTGTCCACCCATCTACGCCTTGGTCTTCCCAGTGGTCTCTTTCCTTCTGGCTTTCCCACCAGTAGCTTACATGCATTCCTCTTCTCCCCCATTGGATTATACTATATAATACGTGAAATAAGGATGATGGAAACATTGAACAAAATATTTATAAGAAAATTACTTAAAGATTGACTATATGGCATATAGTCTGCCCTACGCAGATGTCAGGTTTCGCGGATAAAGTTTTTCTCCCAGATTGTTCCAGTGTGCAAGTGTAACTCGGAATTGTGGGTTTGTGAGAATTGCTTTCATGTATGGCACCGCATGTTTCGAACCAAGGACTTTAGAAAGGTCCCTTATTTGAAGTGTTATATAGAAACAGTTTATCATTAACAGCGGCATTGTGTAATAGACCTCTAGAAGAAATGTCTGGGGTGAAGGTCTAAATATTGAAAGAAACGGGCTCGTGCATTGAAGCCGTGGAGCTGAATCTCCCGCGATAGGTCAGTAGTTGAGCTCAGCTACACAAACTGCAGCACATTTCAGAACCACACGGTTCATTACCCCCTCCAATGGTCCCAATCTGGAGCCAGGTGAATCACATCCGTAACTTTTCATCTCATTTACTCAATATACATTTTCATATTATCATTCCATATAAACCCAAGTCTTCCTAGTGGTCTCTTTCCTTTGGTTTTCCTATCGAAATTTTGTATGCACTATTAGCTCCCACAGAGCCGGGATAGCGACTGGCTGCGGGCTGGACGACCGAGGGGTCGGAGTGCGAGACTCGGTAGAGTCAGGAATTTTCTCTTCTCTTTAAATCGTCGAGACCGGCCCTGGTGTCCACCCAACCTCCTATCCAATGGGTACAGCGGGCGTTTTCCTCGGGGTTAAAGCGGCCGGGGCATGCAGCTGACCACTTACCTGCAGCTAGTGCCGAGGTCAAGAAAATGTGGATCTATACATCCACTGCCCCATACGCCTTCATGGCGTAGTGCTTGAATTTGTTGAGCACAAGGACAACTTTACTTTTTTACGTTACCTTGACGTTGTCTTTCCCGGGGGGTGAAGCAGCCTGGGTTTGAAGCTGACCACTCAACGTCCAGCTAGTGCCCAGATCAAGAAAATGTGGATCTATACATCCATTCCCCCATACACCTTCATGGCGTACAGCTTGAATTTGCTGAGCACAGGGCAACTTTTACCTTTTTACCTTACCTTGACGTCATGAATACAGTTTGGATTTGTTAGTGTCTTCCACAAATATTTGAACTTCGCCTCATTATTTTCCCATGGCAGGTCAGATCGTGTGGATTCATGGAGAAGCGAGCGCGGAGCGTGTTTTCTCAAGAGAACTTCGGATTCCTATGCTAATTCTCATATCACCAACTGTTCCATGTTCATTAATCATCCTATTATCGACGCTGTATACTGTGCATACTGACAGCGTCGTTAAATGGCAAACTTAAAAATATCACAGGATTAATTATCAGATATGATTTTTCTCTCAACGTACGTATAGTATAGTATAATATAGTATAAGCATCTTTTATAAAGACATTTGTTCCTCAAGTAGATTAACATCAGCGTAGACCAGAAACTCTTGTGCCCCATTCGAATTGAATCTTCTCCTATATTTCCTTGAACTTCGTAATGGCTAATTCCAAAGCAAAGTGACACAAAAAGGCACGACTCTTAGTAGTCTTTGATGCTGACACTTCTGCACTGAAAGATGGGAAATTTAAAAAAAGAAAAAAGTGGCCCTGTTTCCATTATATTAAAAACCTTTACCAAATGTAACTGCGAAATTTCATTTATAATATTTTTGTGAAAACACGTGCCCTACCCAAATTGATAGGAATCAAAGGTAATGTTAGGTAACCCCCGCAACAATAGGAAAGCGGTGTCATGAAATCCATTTCCAAGCACCGAATCGGTAAACACGCCCGCAGTAGGGGTATTGTTGAAAACGGCTTTTTGCATTCGGTCCGTGCCAAGTAGTTCATAAAGAAGAGTTAGTTGAGTTCCCGAGATCCATTGAGCAACCAGTGGAGAGTTGGGCTCTGCAACTGAGGGTGAGATGAGGCGCTATGAGTTCAGGTGTGGAGTGTTAACCAGCGGGCAACAGAAACGGAAAATCTCATCTGTGTTAAATCTGTTGCCAGGAAACGGCTAGTGGATATTGTAAGACTGAGGACAGTAGTCTTTTTGTGTGTCAGTGAAATGCAAATTGTAGTTCCGAGCGGTGTATAGAAGTGGTCAATAAATCCAATTCAGCCAATCCACACCCCTAAATCGTGACAATATGTTGGAAACATGTATTCTGACGTTTCTTATCAGGTAGTGTACAAATTGGTCACTTGAAGTAAGCAATCTTTGTGAGCTGTCAATGATAGTACTGCCTCTTATTCTAGATCCATATTTCCTTGGCCTCATCACTAGCTGAAGATGAGTGCTCGGTTCACGTCCCTGCCGCTTTACCACCAGGGAAAGACCCCCCGGTACCCATTGAATAGGAGGCTGGGTGGGCCCCCAGGTCCAGTATAGATGACATGGAGAGGAGAAAATTCTTGACCTTATCAGGACTCAAACTCCCAACCTCTCGGTCATCCAGCATATAGCCAGTCACTATACCGACTGAATTGTGGATCCATATATCCACTCCTTCGTATGGCTTCATGGCGTAGTGTTTATTTAAGCACAGGGGACAGCTTTACTTTCTTACTACCTCTTATGCCACAGCAACCATCCATGTTGATGAGCTGTCATTGCTCCCAGTCAGGCTAAGACTATGATGAAACAGAAATTCAGAGACTTCAGATGATGTAGTGTAAATTGGGATGTACTGAAGACATCCTTTGCTGTGAGCTCTCATTACTGTCGGTACCAATACTTATTTGTGATGGAAAACTGTGTTGATGAGTTTCGATTGTTTCTGGTCAGATTAGTCCTACGATGAAAACTGATTTCACAGATTGTCACTTCAGGTAGTGTACAATGTGGTAAGTTGAACAAGTCCTTCTTTTTAAGTTAGGATTAATGTTGGTATGATCTCTTTTCTTTTCAGACAAGAACAGTGTTGATGAGCAAACATTGCAACAAATCTGGTTAAAACCCTATTGGAAACATGATTTCAGAGATGTCACATCAGGTACAGTATTGTCAACTGAAGGAATCCAACTTTATGAACTGTCATTAATTATGATAACATGCCCTATTTTATCGGGAACAACTATGTTGAGTCTTAATTGCTGCTTTTCAGTTAATGCAATGATGGAAACATAAGTCACAGATTTCACATCACGTACTGTACAGTGTGATGAGCTGAATAAGTCATCTTTATGAATTGTCATTAATGTTTTCGCTCATTATTTGCAGGAAACAATGGTGTTTATGAGACTTAATTGATACCACGCAGTTTAATAGCATTTTGGAAACCTGAAATCAGAGTTTAAAAATCAGGTAGTGTACAGTGAGGTCAATTAGAGGCATCTGTCCTTATGAGCTGTCATAAAGCTGATATCACTTTCTATTTTACAGGGAACAACTGTGTTAATGATTCTTCATTGCTGCTACACAGGATAAAATATATATAAAAAATCACTAAGCTTTCAGGAATGTAGGTACAAATTATTTGCATGAAAAAATTAGTTCATAACTGAATTGCAGCTAGTCAGTATATTCCTATGTTGAAACCAAGAAATTAGAGATTTCATATCAGGCAGTGTACAGTGGTCAATTACATATGTTCTTTATAAGGCGTTATTAATGTTGGTATGATCTTTTTCTTTTAGAGGCAACACCAGTGTTGATGAACCTACAATTCTTCCACTCAGGGTAATACAGTCCTCAAAAAATAAATCCAGTAATTTCATGTCAAGTAATGTACAATGTTGTATGTAGAACAAGACATTGTAAGTTGTCATTATTGGTGTGACCTTTTATTCTTACAGGAAACATCAGGGTTGATGAGCTTTCATTTTTCCCAGTCAGGTTAACACATTGTTGGAAGCATGAATTCTGAGATTTTGCATCAGGTAATGTACAGTGCTGTATGTAGTTCCAAGTCATTGTAAGTTGTCATTATTGGTGTGACCTTTTATTCTTACAGGGAACATCAGTGTTGATGAGCTTTCATTTTTCCCAGTCAGGTTAACACATTGTTGGAAGCATGAATTCTGAGATTTTGCATCAGGTAATGTACAGTGCTGTATGTAGTTCCAAGTCATTGTAAGTTGTCATTATTGGTGTGACCTTTTATTCTTACAGGGAACATCAGTGTTGATGAGCTTTCATTTCTCCCAGTCTGGTTAACACATTGTTGGAAGCATAAATTCAAAGATGTCGAATCAGGTAATGCACTTTGGAGTACAATGATGTATTAAGTTTATGTAGAAGAAGTAATTGTAAGTAGTCATTGTGATTGGTGTGACCTCTTATTCTTAACAGGCAACACGACCAAGGCAGACTGTCCAGTGGCCTACGTGAAGAAAGGTTAAGTGGGGAGCATCAGTTCAGTGACATGAAGGAAAGGGGACGGTGGCCAGTGTGATGTGTAAAGGGGAGAAACTTTGGAAGGAGACTATGGTTTTGTGCAAGTCTTGCAGCAGAAAGCAATTCATGCACGCAGGCAAATGCTCAGAACTGTACCACGCCTGTGGAGATAACCATGTTCCTCCAAAAGCTACATACCTACCTACCTACATGAGTAGACAGTTTCACAACCCAGAAGACTTCACCGTGAGCTTGCAAATTGTCTGGGAATAGATATGAGAGTTTGTGCTACTAGTGACATTCAGTGTGATAAAATGTATCTANTACCTACCTACATGAGTAGACAGTGTCACAACCCAGAAGACTTCACCATGAGCTAGCAAATTGTCTGGGATTAGATATGACAGTTAGTTCTACTAGTGACATACAGAGTGATAAAATGTATCTGTGTTCTTAGTGCAGAAATTGTGAATCTAACATATGGTGAAGGATTCACCCCTGAAGAGTGTGCAATCAGGAGGCTTGTTCTTGCATGTGTAGAAACTGAAGTAATTGCCTTTAGAGTGACAGATTTGTGGGGAGGGTCATAAACCGAGCAAGAAGTGAAGCAGTGAGATGCATGCAGCTTTTGGAAGGGGCAGTTCACTTTAAGGACTTTGCATCACATGATCACACAGTGGCGCTAGCAAATGGAACAGCTGCAAGTTAAAGTTCAGGCCGTTCATCCATTATTTGTGGTTTATGATTTTGGTCAGTATTATTCATGTCTTTTCTATAGTTTTGTATGAAACATATTTTGCTGAGAAATGAAAGATTTTACTGGGATGGTAATGTTTTGCGATGTGCATTCAGAATTCTAATGTATGTGTCAGTATTCTGGTCCACAGTGAAGATAAAATTCGTGGCCTTTATCGAACTGTTACATTGTGTGTTCACAGGGCTGGTGTGTGTCATTCCTTTGGGTCTGGAAGGAATATCATGATGATGATGGATCATCGGGTGGTAAATTTATAACAGCATATTCATTGAAACGTTTAAAAATGTCAGGGTTTCAAACCCAGCTCCCGACCTATGTGAATAACTGTGCGAATGAGTATTATGCTGTGTGGAGATTGATAATACCTTAAATATAATAGTGAAACTGTATAATATTAACATATATTAGCTTTTACCACGTAATTTTACTGTTGTAGACTGGCGAGATGATGGTGCAGCAGCGTCTTGTTTGAAAATGAGCTGCCTCTCCACATACATGAGGGGCTGAAGTGACTGGTGGTCTTCCATGTTCATTGGACATATGCACAGCAAGATCTTGCATAGTTAATAGAAACTTAAGGGGGAAGATGACTGTTTTTCAGCAGGCTTATAAAGAGGTGATCCAAGACCTGAGAGGGAACAATGTGCAGGGAACTGAAATACAGTGAAACCCTCATCAGTGCTCTTTGACATGAGATTAACCTTAGGTAACATTCGATTTTGATGACCTGTCAGTAACCTCATTGTTAAATTACAAGCATGCAAGAATCCACTTCTTGGCAAAGAGACCTTGAATGGGAGATTCACTGTGTGCAGACCTGCATCTGTATGCCGTTGTATCCATCACCACTCACAGAAACATGCCTCTCCATATGTCAGGGGAAGTCTGGATGAGGATCTCCAGCACTGGAAGAAGTGCAGCAGTTGCATAAGAGGTTCATCTGCCAGTGCTACAGACGGTGCGATGGGTAAACTACCTCATCATTTTCCGCCACAAGATACCGGTCTTGCAACATTAGCCTTAGAAATGTATGTCTGATAAATATAGATTAATATCCCTTTAGGTATCATTATTATGATGCTTGAAGTGTGAGTTGGCCTAAATGAATGACCTGTATTTGAATTATATATAAGAAATTTTGAACCGTGCAACGGTTCTTCTCTGCGAAGTTCTTTGGAG